GTCTTATCCCCAACATATCATCCAGGGCTCAAGAGAGTGTCTCACAGGTGTTTAAAAGCATGTCCTTTAGCAGTCTCTGGCTCATTTCCTGTTATATTCTGGCTCTTGTCTGACTGCTGTGCTCTGAAAGGAAAAAGAAATCCCTCCCGGGCAGCTCCCTCATGCTGGGATTTACTGTTTGAACCCTTTATAGGTACCACGGGCAGGGGGCATGTGTCAAGAGCTGCTCTCAGGGGACCATACATTTAAGGGTCAAGGTCCTATTCAGCAGCTGCCTAGCTGTGTCTATGACCAGGGTGAAAAATCATCCTAATTCTGGGTGCAGAGCAACAATGGGCCCCAAACACTACACCACCCTATGCAGTGGGTGGCTATCAGAAGGGAAGAGTAGGGCTGAGGCCTGAGCTTTCTAGGGGTGGCATTCCCTCCACTGTGGAATGGAGAATAGCTGGGTTTCCTAGGGAGGCTGTAAGCAAATGCCAGGGGTTGGATGGCTGAGAAAAAGAGAAGTGGATTGTTCACGAGGCTAGAAGTCCAGGCTCGAGTGATGGCTGTGCTGATTCCTTCTGAGTGAAAGTCGGTTCCTTGCCTCCTCACTTCTGGTAATTCCAGGGGACCTTTGGCACTCCTTGACTTGTGGGTCACTACACACTCTGCCTCTTCATAGCCACTTTCCTCTGTCTCTGTGAATCTTCTCCTGTTTTAAAATAAGGACTGCAGTCATAGAGGATTAGGACTCAGCCCATTCAGTGGGCTATGCAATTGTTTGTGCTTGGCTGCTAACCTAAAGGCTAGCAATTCAAATCCACCCAGAAATGCCATGGAAGGAAGTCCTGGGGATTTGCTTTTGTCAAGATTACAGCCCAGAGAGCCCTAGGGAGCCTTCTACTCAGTAACTCATGGGGCCACAGTGAGTCAGAATTTACTCCATGGCAATGGATTTGTTTTGCTTTTTAACATTTTAGTATGACTTCATGTTCACCTATCTCTTTTTTTTAATCACTTTATTAGGGGCTCATATAACTCTTATCACAACCCATAGTATATCAATTGTATAAAGCACATTTGTATATTCATTGCCCTCATCATTCTTAAAACATTTGCTCTCCACTTAATCCCCTGGCATCAGGTCCTCATTTTCCCCCTCCCTCCCCTTACCCCCTCCCTCATGAACCGTTGATAATTTATAAATTACTATTTTGTCATATCTTACACTGTCCGATGTTTCCCTTCACCCACTTTTCTGTTGTCCGTCCCCCAGAGAGGAGGTTATATGTAGATCCTTGTAATTGGTTCCCCCTTTCCACCCCACCCTCCCTCTACCCTCCCGGTATCGCCACTCTCACCACTGGTCCTGAAGGGATCATCTGTCCTGGATTCCCTGTGTTTCTAGTTCCTATCTGTACCAGTGTACATCCCCTGGTCCAGCCAGATTTGTGTTCACCTATCTTAAAACACCTTTTAAAACCCTCTTCCCAAAAACAGAGTTGCATCCACAGCGACCTGGGCTAGGACTTAAGCACATCTCTTTGGAAGACGCAGTTCAAAAGGGTGAGAAAATGGCCATGGGCATTTAGGTAAAAATCATCCTGATGGAAGGAAGCCAGGAGAGGGAAGCAGAGTCAGTCTCACTTTAACGTTGTATATTGCCTCCGGAGAGATTTCTAAATGCTGGTTCATCAGGTGGTTTGTCAACAACCTTTCTGATCTTCTTCTAGGGGGGTAGCTGAGAGATTTAAACACTACTTAGATCCAAACAAGGCTGGATCCAGCCTAGGAAAGGAGTCTGAATGAAAAGTTGGGGGGTGAGTCCTATGGGAGGTGTGAAGTCTTAGGCAACCCTGCAGGCTCAAGTGGAATCGCTCCATAAGGTGCCCAAGGTTGTAAATCTTTACAGAAACTGACTACCCACATCTTCCTCTCTCAGAGTGGCTGTTGGGTTTGAACTGCTGACTTGAGATTAGCAGATAAGCCCAATGCTTAGTCTGCTGTTCCTGAGAGCTCTTTGCATACATATATAATTATACATGTCATCTTCACAGAAGCTCCATTTCGTTATTGTTATTATCTGCCATTGAGTCGACACCCAAATCAGTCACCCATCACATGCACACCAAAATGAAGTGCGGCCCGTCCTGTGTCGTCCCCATAGCTTTGGCTCTGAATGTTGTAATCCACAGGGCTTTCAGGAACTCGTGTTTGGAAGTAGATCACCAGGCCTCTCTTCCTAGTCCATCTTCAGCTGAAAGAGCCACTCAAACCTGTTCACCAACCATGGTAACCCGTGCAGTCACTGCTGACAGACAGGTGTCGGAGGTACATGATATGTTTTGACCAGGAGTTTCCACATGGAAGGCAAGAATTCTACCACTGCACCAATATGGCCCTCCCCTAAGCTGTGGTTGTTAGCTGCCATTGGGTCAGCTCCGTATGGACAGCAAACAAAACACCACTGGGTCCTGCACCCCCTCCCATTGTAGAGGGGAAAAATGGCCCCTGAGAGGGAACTGGTGGCCTGTAGTCTCCCAGGGGTCACTGAGAGAGTGAAGACAGCCCAGTCCCCCTCCCCCCAATGCTAAGCCCCATTCCCTTGCAGCCTCAGCAGCAACGCTGGGTGGGATGGGCACCCATTTCCCACAGGGACACAGAGGAGGGTCTCTGATTGCTCTGGTCCAGCCCCACACAGGCTTGAGTTGTTGCACTATGTTCTTGTCAGGCACCAAACGCTCATGTCGAAATCCTGCACATCGGATTGTCTGTTACTTCACATGAATCCTAGCGCGTTTTGAGTGTTTCCATTTATTTGACACAGACCTGAATACCATGTTCCCCAGAATAATGTAAATTTCACCAGCACCTCTGATGAACCTCCAATGGTGGCAAAGTATTTTTAAGTGGATTTTTCTTTCTAGAGTAAATAGCAGAGAGAGAGAGAGAGAAAAGAGAATGGAGGCCAAGCATGAAACCTGATGCAACTCAGGTGCAACAGGATCAGGAGGTCAGTGTTCATGGGCAAGGGCCAAAATCAAGCTCCCACGTTTGCAGCTCCAGCTACTGGGTAGCTTCAGCAAGCTGTGCCCCCTGGCTGAGTCGGAGGTGGCGATGCCGGTGTGAGGAGAAGACGGTCACACTGATGAGGCAGCACTTTGCAAATAGAAGGTGCCACCGAAAGTGCTCTGTGAAGGCTAATTTTAGCCCAGCTGCTTCGTTAACGCAGGCAGTCTCATCTGGTGTTCGTCCTTCGGAGGAAAGGATCTGAGGGTCAGAGGCACAGGAGTATTGCAAATGGCCCTTCCTGCATAGCCGTCACAGCCAAAATGCAATGGATGCCATTAGCCCATTTCCGTGTTCTAACTCCTTTTACCAGTCCACAGGCTTCTGAGAGTTCAGACAGCCAGTGCTCTGTTTACCTGACTAGGTACCTTAATAACAGTATGGCCCCTACAGCCCACGCTAATGCTCCTTAATCCTTGCAATTTGCGCTGTGAGCCAGTGCCGAGAGAATCTCATGCCCGTTACAAAATTAAAATAGCCTGAAGGCTGTACAAAAGCCTTCCATCGTAACCTCCAGGTGGGCTGTACTCATTGGCTTGTGGTTACTAATGGGAATTATTATTGTAACTTCAGGCCTGCACTGAGATACTGCTGTGATCCAAGACCACTTGGCAATTTCGCAGAGTCCACAGAATGGGAGAGCCAGGCCCAGGGAACTTCATGAGAGATTAGCCAACCAGACTGTAGATAGGCAAGGCCTTACCCAAGGTCACAAAGAACAAATGATGACAAAACTAGTCCTAGAGCTCTTGGGAGGTGTGAGATCTTCCCCTCGTCTGCTAAGTACAATCGAGCAAACTGTGCCCTATGTAACCTGTACATGTATACACAGCAACTCCGGCCCTCCCTTTCTCATGGGGGGATTCTTCCAACCACCTGGCCAAATGCCCTGGACTTTATCTTTCTCTATGACAAGTGGTTATAAGTAGAACTTTACTTTTCTTCTACAGGAAGTCTCATCTGTGCCCATAGATCAGGTCACGTGCCCCTGTTTCTGGGATCCAGTAGTACTCTGAATTGTGATTACCACTACTGAAATTCTTTTCACTAGCATTCCTTTGAGAACAAAGACTACGTGTTATATCTGCTCTTTTCAGTGGCCTCATATGCACGGGAAAGTTGGACAGTGAATAAGGAAGGCCACAGAGGAATTGGTGCATTTGAATTGTGGGGTTGGTGGAGCATATGGAAAGGATGGCGCACTTCCAGAAGACAAATGCAAATCTGTCTTGGGAGGAGTACAGCCCGGATGCTTCTTAGAAGTGAGGATGGTGAGACTTTGACTTCCTTTGGACATGTGATCAGGAGAGCTCAGTCCTTCTCAAGGGTCTCGTAAAGGCTTGGTAAAGTCGAGGGTCATCAAAAAAGAGGAAGACCCTTAACAGAATGGATTGCCTCAGATGTAACAATCTTCAGGCTGGCACGGACCGGGTGATGTTTCATTCTGTTGGGCATGGGGTCACTATGAGTTGGAACTGACTCATTGGCCCCTAAACACAATAAGCTGTGAGAGAATACATTTCTGTATGTGAAAGCCACCCCCACTTCAACGTAATCCCTTTGAGAAGTCTATCCCTTTGGGACAGCAAGATGTTGGGAGGGCAGTTGAGAGGGAAGAGCTTGGAACAGGAAGCCCTGGAGGAGGGATCACAAAGCCTCATGCGTGTTTTGGTGTTGCCCTGCGCTGTGTTCAGCGCTGTGAGCTGTAAGAAGTCGAGAGGGGACAGGTCTGACTGGAGAGACACCAAGACTGGGCTCCCAGCCTCTCCTTGCTTGTCTGTCTACTACAGGAGTATCTCGAATGTGAAGCCAACTGGCAGAAATAGTGACAGGTGGTTATTTTTCCCCCATAAATACAAATACAAGCATGTGTCACATAATGTCACTTAGGGCAACAGCTGGCTGCATATACTTATTTGCCCGTGGTCCCTTAAGAATTGTTGGTTATCCTTACCTGGCAGGGGAGATACCATGATCACGAAGGTGGTTTTCCCAGGGTGAGGTGTATCCATTGCACTCTGGATTTGCTGACCCCTGTGATTTCCCTAAGTGGGGGGGCGGGGGTGAGAGATTTTTTTTTCTTTAATAAGAGAAAGCATCTCTCTTTTTTGTCTTATTATTTCCCTTTACTGGTTTTAAAGACCCCAAACCCAGATGTTTGCAGAACTGGATCATAGGTGGGATACCAGTGGGTGAGCAGAGGTCATGACTCTGGACAGAGTCTTCTGGGCTTTGTCTGGTGGGCAGGTAGCAGCAGCAGTGGCTGTAGGGCCCCTGGAACAGTAATCTGGGCACAGTGAACAACCCTCCCTCACTGCTCCATTCTCTTGCTCTGTTCCTACCCCTGTTCCTATTCTCTCAGCAGCTGCAGGAGGTGTGATGCTCAGCAGAGATGAAGACAGTTGGAAGTGGGATCTTTTAAGATTTTAATGTGGTGTTTGCACAATGTGCAAATCACATAAGGTCTTGTTTCTCAGAATGCATCATGAGTGTTTAAAACATTTCTTCTTGTATAAAATGAGTAGGGTAGTAGATGAGTTGTGTGTTTGGTAACCAGTGAAATAAAACATTCTCAGCCTGGGGCAGTGCCCTTACATTTTGCTCATGTATCCATACATTTGAAATCCACTGAATGAAGATGAGTAGACAGGGGAGGATGGCTTTTATAGGTTTGATTTGGAAGAAAAATATGATGGGGATTGTGATTGTCATTATTGTACTGACTTCCATTAATTTATTTTTTATAAATCAAGGAGCAGATTAAATAAGACTATTTTCAGAAATGTTTTGACATTACAAACCCAAGTTCACCAGAATATACTACTCTACGTGCAGTTCATAAGAAGATGTAAGAGCCACCAGTAAAATGATTTATTTTTTTTAAAAGCTTTCATTGCTTCATTTTCTAAATACTTCCTCTCTGAGAAGACTTAATTCAGAAGTAAAAAATCTCTCCTAATTCCATATTGCCAGTGATGGGCTGGTATTTTCCCACAGGTTTTCAATGTAAAAATAAATACTTTTAGTATGTTTTTCTTGGGTGTTGTTTTAAGCTGGGTTCTCTGGGGTCAAAACCAGTGACACACACATACCCACATGCACACACACACACACACACACACACACACACACTCACTGAGCCAGAGACAGACAGAGAGAGACCGAGTCAGAGACAGAGAGATTGGTTGATATTAAGAAAGTGAATCGCACAGTTACAGAAGCAAACAAGTCCAACTGATTCCCTGCAGATTCTGAGTGGGTCAGATGTTAAGCTGGAGGCTTCTCCTGACTCAGGTAATTTCAAGGGCTGATGAATCCAAGATCAGCAGGTCAAGATTCTGACTGGACAGATAAATGAATCAAAGGTTGATAGGTCAAACATTAGTTTAGATATCAGGCCACTAATGGCTCCAGGGCTCAGCAGGCAACATGATAAACCATTGGTTCAGCTGGAGGTTGATGAGCTAAATGCTGGATGCAGACCAGCAAAAAGCAAGCTTTTCCACATGTCCACTTGTACAGGAAGTAGGCCATAGCCCCAAGCAAACATCCTTTCAACTCTATCATGGCTGTAAGGGACCTAAATAAGGGAATTGCATTCCAACCTAATCATACAATTGATTATCTGCTCACACCATATACTATCATGGATTTGATTATATTGTGTTAGCTCACCTCATGGGGCATCACTGGATCTTAACTGCCAAACAGCTCAGAATCCTGGCCCAGTTCTATGGACACAAAACCTAGTTATCATAGTTATCCAATTCTGATTTATACCAACCATACAGGAAAGAGTCGAACTGCCTCATAGGGGTTTCCTAGGCCGTCATCTTTCTGAGAGCAGATCACCAGTTATTTCTTCCTCCGTTGTTAGTGTTAGGTGCCTCAAGTCAGTTCCAACTCAAAGCAACCTTGTGAAAAACAGAACCGAACACCCCCTGGTCCTGCACACCATCCTCCCAGGTGTTCTTATGTTGGAGCCCGTTGTCGCAGCCACCATGTCAGGCCATCTTGTGGAGGGACTTTCCCTTTTTCACTGTCCCGCCTCTGTACCCAGTGTGGTGTCCTTCTCCAGGGACACCTTAGTTTATACAGATTGTCCACCAAGTAGACAGTATTTCTTCTTCATTTCTGACAGCAAACTAACTATGGCTTCAGCTCTTTGCCTCTTTCTGCTTCTCAGTTTCTGACAGCTTTCTTTAAATTTTAGCCAAACTTGAGATTTACAGCCCTCTCCCCACACCCATCTGCCATGTTTTATGGAAGGCATTGGACTATAAGTGTATGCCTAATTATTATTCCTTTTCTTTTTTAAAGTTGTTTTCTTTTCCTTAACTGTTACATTAAGCTTCAGAAGCTGCCTTTTGCTGTCAAGTTGACTCTGACTCATGGCAACTCCACATGCTTCAGAGTGAAAATGCTCCTCCAGGGAGCTTTCTGGGCCATGATTTTTCTGGAAGCAGATCACCAGGACTTTGCTCTGTGGTGTTCTTGGGGGATTCACACTGCCAATCTGTAGACTCAAATGCTACTATCGTAGTAGTCAAGCACCACCCAGGAGCTTCATTCCTTCCTAAGCACGATTCATTCGATTAAGTAACTTATTACTATTTTCTTTACCTATCTCTATTTCTAGTCCTTCCCTGCTTGAGTTCTTTATTCAGAGGCGTGCGTTTGTTGATTTGTAAAATTTTAAACCGGTTTTAATGCGGGAACAGGCACTCGGATAGTGTGTTTTCTGAGCGCGCCCCCCACCCCCTCCCCCGCCGGCCTCGCCCGGGCACCCCAGGCCGCACCCCGGACGCGAGAAGTGGGTAGACCAGCACCCACCGAGAAGGGCTCTTGTCGTCCTCCCGGTCGCCGCTAGGGGCACCACCGGCAGTCAAGAATGCAACCTAAGCGCGACAAAGACAGTTCGATGCTGCTGTCTAAGTTGCCTCCTGAAGATGCCTTTTCTCTTGTGGTGAGGTGGCGGGATGTGGGTGAGGTGGCAGGATGTGGTGTTCTGGGACTGTGGTCTCTTAACGAATCACATGAGATCTGAAGGATGCTTGTTATTGGCTACTGCTGCAGCCAGACTTTTTACTCGTAAACACAATTTCACAAAACCCTCTGGAAGTATGCTTACAAATTCATTTGCTTTTTGCATTCACCTGTTTCATGCCGGAGGCCATTGATGGTGATTGCTCAGTTTGGTTAGCTTTTCCTGAGGTGCAGCTGTGCCTCATTGGCCCTGAAACTATTCTTTGGTTGTCAGTGCATGGGCTTTTCCTAGCCCTTCACAACGTGAGGGACAGTGGGTGCTCGTTCCAGAAGGAAACACTGCTGGGTCCTGTGCCATCCTCGCAGGTGTTCTGATGTTTGAGCCCATTGTTGCAGCCACTGTGTCACTCATCTTGTGGAGGGCCTGACTCTTTTTCGCTGGCCCTCTCCTGTACCAAGCATGAAGTCCTTCCGGGCACTGGCCTCTGTTGACAAGTCCAACGTACATGAGAAGAAGTCTCACCATCTTTACCAAGGAGCATTCATTGTGGCTACACTTCTTCTGAGACAGATCTTTTGGTCTTTGGGGCAGTCATGATACTTTCAGTGTGCTTTATGAGTGCCCTAATTCAGATGTTTCAATTCTGCTTTGGTCTTCCTTATTCAGTGTCCAACTTTCACATGCATATGAGTCAGTTGAAAATACTCTGGCTTGAAGTGCTGAAACCCTGGTGGGGACTGAGCATGATAGTGGGACAGGAGGAGAATCAAAAGAAATATAGGAAAGAGCTGGGAGGCAAAGGGCATTTATAGAGGTCTAGATAAAGACATGTACATATGCAATATATTTATATGAGGATGGGGAAATAGATCTATGTGCCTATAGTTATAGGTTTAGTATTAAGGTAGCAGAAGGACATTGGGCCTCCACTCAAGT